GAAAGTTTGATGATTTTGCAATTTCCAATTAATCTTCCTATTTAGCGTTCAAGTGTTCATTAAGACGTTTACTCTTATGAGATTCGCAATTCTGGTTGACATTTGAGGTGCTGTTTAGGGATTCGATGATGACGAAATCACAAAGAAGGTATCAGATTACCGTAAACTTTTGCTGAGCCAGCTTGAGTCTGGAGAGCTCAATTTGGACGCTGAGCTCGGTTCACGCGACTCTCACGCTCGTGCAAAAGCAGCAGCACAGGTTAGTTTTCGTGAGTTGGTCTTTAGTACCTCCCTCCCCCCTTCATATTTTCTAAAGTTTGATTGCAATTTATATGGACTGCACGTTCTTTCGAAAATTTCAGATGAAACCAGCATGATGCATTATACAAAAATTTAGTAAGGTGCGAAAATGAGAAAAACTTTTTCACAATTGCGGAAAAGGCATCTAAGCAATACATAGAAAAGTATGATTCTGAAAGAAGGCATGAAAGTTCTGACATTATAGAATCGAGATCGCATGAGAGATGCTCTTGGATTAGAAAAGGATTATGTCCCTGGTTCATCGATGAAAAAGTAGGTTTGAATTGTGCTATGATTTTGGCATTGTACTCATAACTGCTTCAAACTTTAGCATCAAAAAAACGGATGTAGTAGGAGCAGCTCTAGCTGCCCCTGTTCAAAAAACTGAAGAGAGTCTTCTTTCTACGCTGAAGACGGAGCTGAAGGAAAAATCAGCTAAGGATAAGGTGGGAACCTTTTTTTTTGAACTTATTTTTGAAGTATTGCTATCGTTCCCAAAATGATTTTTTCTCATTTTTACTCTGATGTCTTCTTTTATTAATTTGCTTCAAAAAATCACTATTTTCTTGTTTGACCTTTTTAAAGTGGTTAGACGCTATTAAAATCAAGTTGAATTATAAGAAAAATGGCTGCGCGGCTGAGGAACTAATTTAGATGTGATGATGACATTCGGCGAGATATTCGCACATCCGTTATGTCTTATTATTAGGAAATTGAGCGTTTCATAACCTTTGTTTTTGCGGATAAAGTGAAATTTTTAGACATTTGTTACTTATTTATCGGTACCAACTGTCATAAGTTCAGAAAAGGAAAAAACATCGTCAGGAAAGTAGCTCATCTTCATCAAGTTCGGACAGTGATTCGTCAGGTTCGTTTGCTATACTATGCAACCTTGCTT